AACCAGGACACTGGGGTAGAAAACAAGGGCTTGCAGCAGCTCCTGAGCTACTCGCTGCAAATGCCGTGATGCGTGGGAGTCTTCTCAGGGAATCTTTGTGGTCTGCGAAAATGAAGGGCAGGTTTTAGTCGCAGGATGTCACAGCTGCTGTCTTTTCTAACAAGAAGAAAATGCTTTTCTGTCTCCAGGTGACTTTTGCCACCTAAACTCTGGGTTGTCTCAAGAAGGCTTAATCCTAGATAGCATCGTGGTTTGATCAAACTATTGCAAATAGAATTGGGACAGTACTGAGGATATCGTCCATTTATATGGGAAATGTAATAATTATTTCTAGACTTCAGCTTTTTTTATTAAAGAAAAATCTGATTACCTTACATTTGTTCTTTACAATAATGTTTTGATTCTAGACAATGAACTGATTGCTTTAAAAATAAACTCAAGCTTTCTGAACATGTTAATATTTGAGACTGAAATACTGTTTTGTTTTTATGCAGGAAGATATTAAGTCCCTTATTGCACATATAGTTGAAAACTTTTATAATGCACTTGAACCTATTGAATATGTTCAGACATTCAAGGGATTGAAGACAAAATATGAGCAAGAGAAAGACCGACAAAACCAGAAACTGAACAGGTACAACCCAGTTTGTGCAGTCTCAGACTTTTATTGAATGCCGTGATGTACTATCTTCTTACTGCTGGTTGGTTTTTCTTCCCTAGAGGGCAGAAAAAGCAGAAGGCTGGGATTGGGGTTACTTTCATTCTTGATGAAAATTCTTCAATTAGAGTAAACCCCCTTCTAGCTTTCCTTGTGGCCTGCTGTAGTACAGTTCCTATCTGTCAGTGTATTACATGTTACGTTCAGAAAACTCAGCTTATGTAGAGCAGAACCTTCTTCTGTTGCTCAGTGTTAGGATTCAGTCTGCTTTATTGTCAGCTGAGGTTTTGATGAAACTTACGTTGACGGTGGAACCAGGGATGGAGCTGGGCTGTCTTCTCAAATGCACTGAATTCCCTCTACAGCGTCACAAGCCTGATCCTGGCCGTGCCTGAAAGAGCAGGCAAAACTGGAATCACTTGTCCTGTGTCTCTTACAGTGTTCCATCTATATTGCGTAGCAATAGATTTCGCAGAGATGCAAGAGCCTTAGAGGAGGATGAAGAAATGTGGTTCAATGAAGACGAAGAGGAAGAAGGTGAAGCTGTTGTACCTCCAGTTGAGAAATCAAAACAGGAGGATGATTTTCCAGATAGCTATGAAAAATTTATGGAAACTAAAAAAGGTATTTACTCAATTTCAGCTTGTCAGCACTAAAAGTGCTCTATGGCAGATATATGGACTATTGTGTAAACAAACCACTTGTGCTCTGTATGATAAGCAGGAGTAAGAGTATTCCATGTAATTAAGTAACGAATTCCTAACGGGTGTTTGCAAGCTAGTTTAGGATTAAAGTAAGGAGTTAAATTGCTCCAAGCATGCATCTAGTCTAAATGGCATTCAAAAGCAAAACTTGGTGTGTGCTTGTGTGCGCTGCGTGAGCAATGTCCCCTGTGCTGTTCGCAGTTTGAATGCTGGCATGCTTTGGGTGAGGTCGGCGGGTGAGCTGTTGATTTAAACTGAACTAAAAAAAAAAAAAGGCAGCTTTTGCCCTATGGTTGTGCTGTGATGTGGATTGTACTCTGTGGCGTATAGCTGATACTCAAGTATGAAACTGTTTGTCCCTCAGCTAAGGAGAGTGAAGACAAAGAGAATCTTCCAAAAAGGACTTCAGCTGGGGGATTCAAATTCACTTTCTCCCACTCAGCCGGCGCAGCCAATGGTGCAAACGGTGCAAACAGTAAATCCGTGGCAGCTCAGACATCGCCAGCGAGCTCCAACGGCTCCTCTTCAAAGAACGCAACCCTGACCACGGCGGTGACAACCGCAAAGGTGGGAGAACTTGTACAAAAGCTGCGGTCCTCGTGTAGGCCAGTGGAGCAGTGGCAGGAGGCTTTAGTGGTTGTAGGCAGGGTGTCTTCGTTATGTACTAATTCTTCCAAAGCCCTGTCTAGTTACACCCTTACTGGTTTGGGGGAAGGCTTAAGGAGTTCCTAGGTGGGACTGGAATTTAACTGTCTAGTTGCTGCCATCTGTGTGGTACACATACGAGATTGGGGTTTTTTCCGAATTATGTTCGTGGCCTCCTGTTGGGGAATTACAAAGTGTTTTTAAGCAGATGAAGTACAGTGAATAGTAATTGTGAGGCCAGATCTGGAGGAGCAAGGAAGTTCTAGTGCTTTTTTAACCTTGCGATTCAAAAACATTCTCAAAACAAATGGGTTTTTGAATGAAAAAATTGCACGTTCCTGGGGACTTTTTTTCAATGTGAGATTTTCCTTTTTTTCTCTAAATTGGCAGGGAAGTCTAGTTGGCCTAGTGGATTATCCTGATGATGAAGATGATGATGAAGAGGAGGAGACATCTCCACGGAAAAGACCTCGTCTGGGTTCATAAACGAAACCAAAACTTTGGAACAAAAACTTTTATTATGGGGTTTCAAATGCTGCAACTGTTTTAAGAGCTAAAAAGAATCTGATTCAGAAAGCTTTCTCCCATGAGTATATAAAGATAATACAAGGAGTAGCAAAAGAAACTCAGTGTATCAGCTAGAAAGGGTTAGTTCTGTAAACACAAAGCTTCCAAGGAACTTGATATCTTTCTAGTAAGTAAGGAGTCTGCCATTCAGGCTGTCAATAAAAATAAAAAATGTTAAAAAAAAAAAAAAAAGAGTGGGTTAGTATTCACAGAACCTGGATGATGGCTTCTCAGCAAGGAAAGTCTCAGGTGTCGGGAGGGCAGGGGGGGAAAGGTATGGTAAACACTTTTTTAAAAATATTGCAGGGTTTCCCCAGTGTTTAACAGAACTAGGAAAAAAAAATAAATTCGAGTTTAAATTTTGAACCCAGTAATCTTAATTTCGTAATGGTGCTGTCAGTTGTGTTCTTTTAGCAACGCCTCTTTTAAAAAAATTTTAAGGGATAATGTAACTCTGTTTGCATAAGAACAATCCAGATTTTGGGACCATTTATTACCAATCCAATCCCATTTCTCATGGTTGGAGGGAGGGACGCTGCAGTTATAGTGCATGTTGAGTTGTTTGAAACAGTTAAAAAATAAGTTTTAATTTGTATTTTTCAAGAGGAGAACATGGAAGCTGGATTCAAAATGGATAGTTTTGCTTGTTTTTTTCACTAGACATCCAATAATATCTAGGCCAAGGAACGATCGCTTCCAAACTATCTCCAGGAGGTGCTTGTGTCAACGGGGCGCTGTACGCAGCGCACCCAAATAGCTGTCGGCTTCACGTTGTGAAAGAGACCGAATTGGAATCGCTTTCCGTGTTGTTAAATGAGCTGTCTCTTCTCGGAGCAGCAAGTCATTTTCCTGTTGGCGAGTTTAAATTGCGTAACTGAGGTGGTAATAAGAAACACTAACAGGTTTGTCATAGCGATGAATTTAGCGGCGTTTTAACACCAAAGTCACTTTGGACCAAGTTGGAATTCTTTACTAACGGAACACCGGTCTTTGAGGCAGAATCAACAAGCAGCACCGGAATCTGGGTGTAATACGAAAGCTGCTTTTTTTGAAAAATAAAAGCACATTCCACGTAGTAGGTAAGCAAACTGCAACAAAAATAGGCGAGTCGATAGAGGCAAACGGTCCGGGTTTTATTTGCAAGAGCAGCAAGTGAACTGTAAATATTTTAATGTTAGTTTGCCCATATGTGATCTGAGATCATGAAGAAGTGAGAGGAAATTTCCCAATGACAATTCATGTGTCAGAAACGTTAAAATACGAAACCAGCTGCAATCCACCACATAGATCACTCTTGTAATATGTGTTATGGGTCCATTTCTCCTGGAATAGTTTAAACTGAAGCAGTTTCTCTGTTTTGGAGATTTTTGTAGTTAATTTTAATTTTAGCTATTGTTTGGAAAAAGATGGGCTGTCTGTGTAGATATGAAGTATAGTTTTTTCCATAAAACAGAAGTTTATTTTGTATTAAAAATACCACTGTACTTGTTTTACACCATTTGTATACATGTGGTGATATTAATGCTGAACTGTAAAATTCAGGAATTAAAATGTGACCCTGTAATTCCATAATTATTGCTTTTGTTTGGTTTGTTGTACATGGTAAGTTAACTCTGAATTTTAAATGTGGCCATTTTAGAGTATTTTTTAAGACTAGTTATCCATGCAGTTTTAAAAGTAACTCTATACCACTAGATGAAATCCCAAAGGGAAGGTGCGAAGAGTTCTTACAGACGCATAAACTAGCCACAAGCGTTCTGACGGATGCTGCTTCACGCGCGTGGACTTGGGGACGGCGGTGTTGCCCTCTGCAGGCTCCAGGCAGCCGAGAACAGGACTCCGTATTTTTCACCTGTGCAGTGAAACGCCACGTCAACTCCGAAGGCAGCAGATCCGAGGAAGCGGTTGCTGGTAAAGCATGGCTGCAGCGTCGTCACCGTGTGCTCGCTCTCCTGCTGACGATCACCTGGTTTGCTTTCTGATGAGTCTTTTCTCTCCACTGGTAACGAATAAATTACTCCGGCGCTATACACGCTACTCAAGCGGCAGAGTTACGCAGTATGTGCCTTTACTAACTTGAGGCTGAAACGTTGTGTCACCTGGTCTGTGCACCCGAGTTGTCCCCATTCTCTTTAACAGCTACCCAAGTTCTCCGAGAGTCTGCGACTGAAGCATGTTAGTCCTTGCTCAATGTTCCCACCACCCCACCTCTTCCCTGAAGTACTGTCAGGAGCTTTAAAATACATTCAGACCAACATGAGGGGGGTTTTTTTACAGCAAAACCAAGAATGTCATGAATTTTTATAGTTACTAGAAAAAGACTGTGTAAAGTGGCATTAGATGTCCCATTTAAAAAGAAGAAAATCTAAAATCACAGTAGAAGGTGAACTGTCACCCCCATAGCTGCTGTGTCCCAGTCTGCCTGGGTTCTGCCTGTGGGCAGCCGCGTTCCCGTGCCTGGGGTCCTTCCACTACCACTCTTTTTGGAAAAGAACCGAACATCTGCCAACATGTATCAGTTATAAATGCTATTTTAATAAAAAGTTACATGAAACTTGAATTGGTTGGGTTGTTTCTCTTCGTGCCAGTTAGTATATTGCAGTCGGCTATGCAATGCCATGGTGTAAATTGTAACCTCTCGTCCCTGCTTCATTTTAAATCTGGCAAAGCCAAGCCAGTAAACGAGATCTTAAAAGATCACTACCGGATTGTTCGTGGCATCCCTAGCGTTGCAACTAAAGCGGTTATTTTTACTCAAAGTTGCATTTATAGCAAATTGGACCTAAGGACTAGTAAACTGCCCCAAAAGTATGTAAAATGATGTAATCCAGAGTTCACATGTAAATGCCTCGATTCCAAGCTACATTATCTGTTTCTCAAAAATAAGATGGTCATAGTTGCGTTTCCTTGTGAAATTAGACTTTATTTACGTTGCACAGCTGAAAAATAGTGATTTGATTATAATCTAATAAAAGGAACAAAGTTTTATAATTTTAAAAATAAAGTTAAAATTTCTGACTCCTCCAGAAGCGTTCGCCTAGGAATTATTTTAACAGATCTATCTGCTTTTGTTTAGAAAATCTGTATGCTACAGTGGCCACACTGTTGAACATGTTCAGTGAAAGTCAATGAGTTTCCAGCATTCTGGAAAATAAGTGGGTTTAGTGTATTTCAGTGTAGTTTTAAATATTTATATATAAAAGGAGTGAGTTGCTTGTCTTGAAAGTTCTATAAAACTCAGTATAATAGTGGAAAACAAATCCATTCGATGCTTATTTATATAATTTATTCTAAAGCATACTTATGCTCTTGGGCTCTACAATGAGCTTCTTAAAATTACCGCTTATTAATAACTTCTTCTTTTAGTTTTTCTGCAAGCATTTTCCTCTTCTGTAGTAATCTTTGCTTCTCTTCCGACATTTCCTAAAAACAAAGTTAAAAAAAACACTTCGATGAACTGTACAGCTGTGCCGGGAGGGCCCCTGACTTCTGATGCTAACTGCTAACCTTCCAGTTCTTGAGAAGCAAATCCCAGGACGTGGATGACGGCTCTTTACATCCATCTGCCCCTTTTCCACTGTGCTGTACCACGCTTTTTGAGAGGACTAACCTCAACTTGAACTGGTGTTGCTTAGTTGTTCTGGAAGTTTCCCACTTAGCAGTGTTTTGGGCACGTTCTGAGCATAATAAAATGCTCAGCAACTCTGAAAAATACCTGAGGCAATACGAAATCTCTGGGTTTAAGTGCATGCTCTGGAAGGAAAAGTTGTGATTATTTTTTATTTTTTTTAAACATAACTTACTACATTTGTTTTGTGGGAGTTTTAAGGTGATCTACTAGTTTCCTCATTTGTGTTGACAGTTTCCAAGCATTTCTTTCCATATAAATGTAGATCAGACCTATTTCTGGCAAATGTGTTAAGTCATATTAATGATAATTAACAAAAAAAGGTTGGGGTTTTTATGTGATAAAGACCTCTATATTGGTAGAGCTTTATCCTGTCATAGGATTCTGAAGTTTTTTATGTCTGTATTTTCTTTCCCTGATAGGATTTACTTCTTTTTTCCCCAAACTAGATTGTCTATCATCCCCATGGTGCAAGGGGTTTTGTGATTTTTAGCACTTTTTCTGTTGGAGGCAACTGGGTAGACAACCAGCATGCACCCTTCAGAGCACCTCGTCTTTCTAAAATATATCATTATCATCATGTTGCTTCTGTTCCAGCAGCTGATGGACAGAAATCAAGGAAATTTTCATTTGAAATAGGCACAAAACTCTCAAAAGAACCAAGCAAATTTGTTACCTCTCTAAAATAAGACTTTGCAAAAGAAAAATGGTTTTTTTCCCCATTTTGGTTGGAAATAAAAAAAACAATGACCGAGAGATTTAGGGGGACCTAAACAGTAGGTCACAGATTAGCAGAAAAACAGCTTTTTAGCTGTTCATAAACTTTAATTAATCAGAAGGATTCCATGATACTGAAGCAAAATAATGCCAACTTAATCACTAAAACTTCTAGTCTATAAGCTTCTGCAAAAACAAAAGTTTGAAAATACTTCCTCTCTACTTCCCTTGCTTGTTTTTTTAATCCTGCTACAATATTCAGCAGCAACACTGACACTTTCACTGAAATGACCTATGGTTTTTACAAAGTGGTCAGGATGATTAAGATGTTTGAATCCTTCACCTCTTTTGGAGATGATTCCTCCTCTTTCTGGTCAGCGTTTGTTGGTAACAGTACGTTATTTCTTGACTCCTTCTTTGTAGCCATCAGCATGTCTCGTTTTTTCTTTAGGTAGTCCTCTCGTTGCTTCAGCTGCTGTTTTTCAAGTTCTGATAAATTCTGGAAATTTTTTTTTAAACACATTTTATAATTAATTTTTGGTATGCACGTTATGTGAGATAAAAGCATTTACATCATATTTGCCTCCAAAACTACTAGCTGGAAAAAAAAACCCTCCAAGTTGAAGTTTCAAGCCAGTGCTGTCTTCTAAAAAATTACCATGGGACAAAGGCTGAACGCTGAATTCTGTTCTAAAACTAGAATGATGATCTGAACTTTATGCGAGTTAAAGTGGTGAATACCATAAAACAGTGTTTGCATACCGGTTTAAAAAAAAAAAAGCCACCACAAGCAAACCTACCAGACTACAATAAT